GGTTAGCCCCCCGGGTCGAGGCTGTCGTAGGAGGGGACGCGCTGCAGGCTCTGGAAGGAGGACTGGCTGCTCCAGGACTGCGTCAGCCGGTCGCAGCTGTCGTAGCTCTCTATGCTCTCGAAGGAGTCCTGGCCACCCAGTTTACCTGGAGAGAAGGAAGGGCAAGTGAGATGTGCCTGGACAGCACGGGGATGCTTTAGCTTGCCACAGCCGGGAGAAGAAGGCAACCAGGCAAATGATGCTGTCCCATCATGTCTCATCTCCAGACAAACTCAAAAACACGGCCTGAAACTGGGATACTTCTGTTATCTTCGCAATTCAGAGCAGGGCTGCCTGAGCCCCCCAAGAAGTGCAGGCAGCAGAGCAAGGCAGAGAGAATCAGGGGAAAAACTCAAAGTCCTGACTCTCCACCCAAGCCTGATGCCTGGGGCTAACTGGAAATTGTCCTCTGTTTCAAAAAAGGCAATGGCAAAGAAATAATCCACTTTAAACAGATATTCAAGGCTCAGTTCAGGTGCCAGGACCTCTTGTTCTTGCTGCTGAAAGACACAGGTCTCCAAAAAGTCCCATATTATATCTGCCAGCCCTATATAAACGCTGCTCAGGCATATTCAAGGGCACTGGACACCCAGCTTCTTTAGTTTTGATGTTTCCTACAAAACTACACAGCAGTCTTTTATTGCCATATGTTACAACCAGCTTCCACCCCCAAATCCCCAAACAGCAGCAGATTTGATGGAGGAGGAGAGCAAAAGGCTGCGAGCTCAAACAGCGATTTTTCCAGTTCTGGGAAGGTGAGCACAGCTGGGTTGTATCAAGGCTACTCTCTGGGGTATTTTTAGTAAAGACCAGAACACAAGAGGCTGGATCCTCAGCAGTGCTATGCTGCTTTACACCCACTAGACACAGCGTAAGTATACTCACTGTACTTGAAACAGAGAGCTAAAAAAGGATCCAAAGAACAAACTGAAATTGCTCTCTCTGATCTCCCGTACGCTGTCAGTTGCTCAACATCTTTACTGACAAACGAAGAGCGTAACAGGATCATTCGAGTTCACTAATTTCCCAAACCGGGCTAAAAACAGCTGCTGGGATTGTGCAAGAACTCCTGGAGAAATTTCCACTGGCAGAGCTACCCGCAGCTTGGGCCCAGCTAGTAAATCACAGGGGAACAGGAACGTGGAAGGACGCTGGCACGCTCCCTCAAATATTTGTTGTGTTGTAGTCTGAAGAGCACTTGCTGTGAAAAGACTCAACTACCGTGGGCTCTGCCCTGATTGCTGGCCCAGAATCACTTGAAGTTTGGATCCACTGGCTTGATTCTGCTGGTAATATCCATGCTTCGAGCTCATGGGTTTTTTCTTCTTTTAGTTTTTGGAGAATTTCACAGAATACACTTCAAGCACTTCCTGAATCCTGCAAGGGGAAAATGAACCCTGCTCTGTGCGTGCTCATTGATTGGCAGAACCACTTCCCTGAGAAGTCCCGCGGCACAAGCTCGTTTAGAGAAGGAATTAAAAATCTGCCAGATGAACAGCCGCCGTGTCGGAGACGTGACTCGGGTCATTTCACTGAAAATCCCCCTAAATTTGACCTAGCTGGAAAAATCATGCCTTGCACCTACTCGGGAGAAACTCGCCAAGAGGCTGGCAGCTACGCTTTCTAACCACTGATAAGGCAGAGTGAAACAATTCCCATGGGACCACAAAATTAACTCCTAAACCCACACAAAGAAAGACAAAAAGGCGACTGTCTGGAAAACCTTCGTCCTGAATTTCCCGCTGCTGAAGCGCCTGACTTTGTGACAGACAAATCTTTTAACGCAGTGGAAGGTAAAGATGTACGTAAACATAAATCAGCCGGATTCTGCTTTAGATTAAGGCTTCTGGATACCGCTCTGGGAGGGGTTTATGCCACCCAAAGGCCCTCCTAGGTGGCTGAAACAGAGCGTTAGTGTAAGCCCAGCCATAGCCTGTTGTTGCATTTCTTCGATTGCAACCAGTACGTCGAAGTGTTTGTTAACACCAGGGGCCCTTGGTCCCCGCTGCTGAGTTAAGGGCTCTTTCGTCCCTCCTCTGGAGCCTTTTTCGGCTTGCCAGCGAGAACAGGCTCAAAGTACAATTGCAAAAGCGTGCCTGAATCATTGCATTTCGGTAAGAATTCTTAAGAAATCACCTATGTTAAAGAAAAAGGTCAAAAAAAGGGAAAGACAGTGATAAAAGATAGCCAGAAAAACAACCCCAAAAAGAAGAGTTTAGTTAAAATTGTAACACCGCTGCCCTTTCGGCTCACCGTATCGTCCAAGTCACCTCTCTCACATTAACACTATGCCAGCAGCAGAAGCAGAGGTAATAATACAACTAAGAACTTCCCTGTCATTAGCTCTCCCAGCTTGGAAAAAGAATGAGAAACTTAAAATGAGCTCCGCTGAGCAACGCACACGCGATGCAGACCTGCAAACGGGCGCCAGCTTTCGCAGGGAACCAGCACATCTTCAGCTCTCCTAGCTGGATGAATGGGTTTAAACGTTCAACATCAAACCCAGCTCACAGCAACACGTTACTCTAATGAATTTTAAGCGTGGGGACACCTGGATTCTATTCAGGACACAATCACAGGCAGGTCAGATCTCTTCCCCGTGCCTCAGGTTCCCTACCTGGAATCGGGAGATAATGATACCCCTTTGTCAGTGCCTTTGAGCTCTACAGATTAAACTTTTGCTTTGAATATATGCTGTGAGCCAGATCCTGAGCCTTGCATTAAGCGACGTAATTACAAAGTAGTTGGGCATCTGGGCCCCATGTGTTCAGAATTTAATAATATTAACTGAAAAGGCATTTGGGCTTAGATCCTCAAAAGTGTTTAGGTGTTTAAATCCCATCACCTCAAACAGCAATCATGTACCTATAACTCTTTGGAGATGTAGGGTTGTAGCATGAGGATCTGGGGGGTCCTTCAGCTCTGTGGCTGACTCAACCCATGACATCCGCAGCTCCTAACAAAGCACAGGGCTTGGGTTCATCAGAACACGTTATCAGTTCAAGCAAACAGCTATCAAAACCAATGGAGATAATGGATAAAGACTTTGCATCATCGAGTGTAAAGCCCTTCAGAGGCTTGGACAGTAATTCCTGATGAGAACTTGTGAAGGATTTGTGGGGTGTTTCCCAGTCTCCTAGGAAAATGAGATTTATATGACCACACAGCAGTCTGTCCTCCCTAATAACCTTAAAGCCAATTTCAACTTCACTCAAGTTTGACATCAAAGTACAGAGCCAGAAATGCTCCATTATTGCAGATGAGGTAAAAAACAGGCAGCGGAGTAGAGAAAATAAAGACCTTCTTCACGTTTTCCCCAGACAGAATGGCAGGGAGGGCTCAAAGCCACCAGGGAATCCATCTGTGAGTTCAACCTCGTAAGATACACGGCTTCATTACTGCATGGTGCCCTGATGGCCTTGGTCCCCCCCCAGACGGGGACGCAGCGCTTATGTTGCTACAGGTAGAGGTGACAAGAACCCAAGCCAACCCTGGGAGACACCCAACTTTACCTCGACTGGCACGTCCCATGCACATGTTATCTGGCGTTACTACTTCTTGCTTGATCGTGAAGTAGTCTGTCTGCAGGGAGTCCGTCTGGACTGGGTCACGCAGGATGACC